TAAATTCGGTGCTTTGTCTCTGCAAAGACCTGGTGGTCTCTTTGCAACTCCTAGGCAGAGATTAAATTCATATTTAATGAAAGAAGGCACAATCTTTTTATTGAGGAGTGCTCAGTGGCTATTTATTTAAAAATATGATCTACTGTAATTCTAGTAAGTTGAGATTTTGTTTTTTGGAACATACTTAAAATGGCAAGAATTGCCATCCTATTGTTTCTTCTTAAGCTAAGGGGGTGGGGCAATTCTGAAGATATGAGCAAATTTAATTGAAAAAGAAAATTTAGCTTCACATTAAAATTAGAAGGAATAATCTGTACATCTCTTAGTTGTCACATTTGGTTTCCTTCAATGGGTAGCATTTTTCCTAGAGTTAAGCAATGCATTGAAATATTTTCACACTTCAGAGCATGGAAAATGTGATGTACTCCTAAGCCAAGGTCTGCATACTAAACACAAATTTAAAATGTGCTCCCAAAATTGTGGCTATAGTTTTATTATAGGAATAACCATGAGTGTGACCGTGACCAAATATAAGACACAATAAACAGTTCAACCTCTAGAAGTAATATTCCTGAAGAGGTGGATATTGTTCAAACATACATTAGGTTAAACCACAAGCCTAGATAAGCTTCTGATTGTCCAACGTCATAGAAGTCAGAATAAAGTTGAAGCTAAAAACCTGTTCTGCTAAATTCCAGGTCATACTCACCAGGACACTTTTTCTCAGGAGCCCAGTGAAAAGGGGAGATGCTATAAAATATGTACCTAACAAAGCTTGTCAGCGACTTGAATGGAGCAAACCAGTCCAGATCTGAGAATTCTAGGAAATAAATGAAGTTGAACATTTACTGCCAACAACCATGTCACTGGGGCCACAGACAACTGGAGCCGCGCAGTTAGGGAGGGGAGGAGTCTGTAGCCAGAGAAGGCAGTGGAACGCACCCAGGTTGGATAATTTATGGTGTGCTGATGAAGAGGCAACTTTCCATATGAGGAACAGCTTAACAGAGGAACAGTCAAGCTAAACTAGGAAGAGGTCCAGTGAGAGAGAGAGCGAGCAACAAAAGCGGACGTGAATAAAAATGACAGGTAATAAAACAATACAAATCTAAAATGCTGTAACTTTCAGAAATAATTTAGGGCCAAAAGAAGAGGAAAAAAAAAACTAGTTTTGCTGGTGTTGGGACAATTTTCCAAGAAGCAAAAGACATGAAGCAAAATGAATGTGCTGAATTTAAGACCAAGTTTGCCTCCATGCCTTTCTAGCTACAAGTTTCGTTGCTTCTAAGGCTGGTTTATCCATAAAAAGTGTTAATTTTGTTTTTACTTAGCTGATGTATCTTTTTTTTTTTCCCCCCAACAAACATCTGCTGTGCACTATTCCATGTCAGCCACTGGACCCTCTGTGGCTCTGTGCTGAACCTCTGTTCACAGGCACAGCTCCTGCCCTCAAGAGGCTTATAATCTAGTGTGAGAGGTGGACAAGTCCACCCTCAGCTTCTGGACAGCAAGGTGGGTGCTATGACAGCTAAAACAGGGGCAAGGGAAGGGCAGAGGGACAACCGCAGGAATGAGGTGCTGCCTGGGCTGAGACCTAAGGAATACAAGCCCCAAAGTGAAGCCTGGCATGGAAATAATTTAGTGAATGTTGCTTTCTATTCTGATTGAATAGACACTTACCAAACCTCCATGCAATCCAAACCCGTTTTTATTTAAAAATTAAAATGCATTTCATGGCCAGGTACAGTGGCTCATGTCTGTAATCCCAGCACTTTGGAAGGCTGAGATGGACAGATCACGAGGTCAGGAGTTCGAGACCAGCCTGTCCAACATGGTGAAACCCCATCGCTACTTAAAAAAAAAAAAAAAAAAAAAATTGGCCGGGCGCAGTGGCTCACGCCTGTAATCCCAGCACTTTGGGAGGCCGAGACAGGCGGATCATGAGGTCAGGAGATCGAGACCATCCTGGCCAACGCGGTGAAACCCCGTCGCTACTTAAAAAAAAAAAATTAGCCAGGCATGGTGGCGGGCGCCTATAGTCCCAGCTACATGGGAGGCTGAGGCAGGAGAATGGTGTGAACCCAGGGGGCGGAGCTTGCAGTGAGCTGAGATCCTGCCCCTGCACTCCAGCCTGGGTGACACAGCAAGACTCTATCTTGAAAAAAATATATAAAATAAAAATAAAATGCATTTCATGCAAAAATGCCATCTTCTGTGGTTCCTAGTAGTTTCCATCCTTGAATTCTGCACTTAAGATCTGTCTACTCGAGCTTTTTACAATCCTTTATATGGTACAAAATACCTCTTCTCCCAAGTCTGGCCAAAAGCCTATTAAATACCAGCTACCAGTTACCACACGGCCCACAGGTGCTAGGAATTTCATGTGTGTCTCTTTTACTCTTCGCAACAGTGCCTTGAGGTAGGACTGTCACCCCCATTTCACAGAGGAGAGAATGGAGTGTAACAGAGGGCACTCTCTCAAGGCCACACACAGTAAGTACTGGAGCACTTTGTTCCACACCACACCATCTCTGGCCTAAGTATACAGGTTGGGACTGTTCCAATAACATTTCTACACCCAAGAAAGGCTCTGAGCTGTTCCCAAAGTAACTTTAGCTAAGTACTCTCTCTCGTCTTTCCACCTCCCCAATAGGAGGCCGTCTTCCCACCATTCTCGATAAAGCACTACTAGTAAGGGCCAGAAACTCCTTATTTTGGGTGGCACTGGGGATGTCTGCATTGTAATGCAGGGGAGTTTTCAAAAGCTAAGAACTGTAACACGGTACCACAAATGAATCCATACACACTGACATCCAGGGTGGGTCCTATGCCCCACTAACCTTCCTTATCTTAAAAAAAGAATTTTTGGCCGGGCGCAGTGGCTCACACCTGTAATCCCAGCACTTTCGGAGGCCAAGGTGGGTGGATCACGAGGTTAGGAGATCGAGACCATCCTGGCTAACACGGTGAAACCCCGTCTCTACTAAAAATACAAAAAAAAAAAAAAAAAAAAAAACCGGGTGTGGTGGCAGATGCCTGTAGTCCCAGCTACTCAGGAGGCTGAGGCGGGAGAATCGCTTGAACCTGGGAGGCAGAGCTTGCAGTGAGCCGAGATCACGCCACTGCACTCCAGCCTAGGCGACAGAGTGCGACTCCGTCTCAAAAAAAAAAAAAAAGAATTTTCTTAAAGATGAGCGTAACTTTTCCATGGCTCCCCACCTGCACCCTCCCTCTCCCCATGGATCAGTGTTCCGTTGAGTCATCTAAGTTTAGTTAGTACATTGGGGCCGCTGCTCTGAAATGCTCGGAAATGCAGCTGCTCTGAAATGGGGATCCAGCCAGAGTGCTGAATCATGAGCCAATCATGTCATCTCTGTACCTTTGCTCTTTCCCCCATTCCTCACTGTACTTCTTTCCGGAGACTGCCTATGGCCTTGCTGTAAGAATATGTGGGGAGACACAGGCCACAGGTGGGCTCCTCCACAACCTAGGGACTTCAGACTTTCCACGAGTGCTGGGTGGGTGTATTCTGTCCCCACACCTTTGTTTCCATACACACTCCACAGCCACTACTCTACCTTGGCCAACTGGCTAGTATTTCTAAAATACGACTTCGTATCTGAGGATTGAGCAATCTATGAATTATTTCATAGTTTGAATTCCAAGTTTCATGGTTTGAATTCAAGTAGTATTCTTTGTAGAAGTCATTTTAATGTCTTTGAGACCAGTCTTTCAAAAAAACAAACTGGGAACTGGTTTGAATGGTAAAGCCTTTTCATTATTAACCAAAAAGTTCTAAAACTATCAAACAGTAGAGGTCTGATATTCCCTATTTGAAACTGGGTAAAGCGTGATCAACTGACAAACCACAACACAATCTTTCAGATATTTCTATCCCTACTCTCTTATTCTCAAATTTACAAAACTATTTGCAAAAAGACAAATACTAGTTTTCTCTTTTACTATTTGAGGCAAATCATGTCTACGAACACTGGCTTTTAAAACCAGACATTAAAAACAGATGATGTAAGATCCACTAGCTTATCAATTAGAATTCCGTTCTTTCTCGGCTTAGGCAACTTCCTTGAGCACAAAATATTATGACCATGCCTGGGCTGAGCTGGCCACATGCGTGGTGCTTTCATCCAAGGCTGAGATTATCAGTAGGATGAGTGCTGAAACTCCACTTTTCTAAGAAAATGATTTTGCAGCCAGGATGGTCAGAAACTTCAAATGACAACTTTACTGATTTGAGGTAATTTCCCAGGAATTTAAGAGGCAATCATTTACTCCTGGCTTTCAGAGAGAACCTGGGCTTGAAAAGCACAGTTCCACCTAAAATTGATCAGCTGGCGACAACCCTCTGAAGTCACTTGGGAGTGAGGGAACGCAGTTGAGACCCCTACACATCTGGACTGAACTATTCAGTTCACTTTACAGGTTGTAAATTTTCTGGCCCCAAAGACTACTTGAAAATAACTTTTTACCAAGCAAGTGGATTTTTTATTAGCTGAAGTACTAAATTTTTTAAAAAATTGTTTTGATATGGAACACTACAGCTATCAGACTTGCCAACAACTAATCTTCAAGGAAATGTGCATTTAAGAAAATAGCAAAATTACGAGAAACAAAAATCTGAGTCCTGAAAACATGGATTTTAAATTATTGTAGATGACAATCTTATTAAAATACTGCTCTATATCATATTCAAATAAACCAGAGAATTTAATAAATATCAGCACTTACCATCTAACTTGATACTATGGTTGAGACTAAAAGGGTTTTGCTGCCTGGACATTTTTGACATTTGTCAATCTACACAAGCAGAAAACATCTGAACAAAAGGAAGGACACACACACGTTTTCACTGAGAGCTATATTTGAAGAACAGCCTATATCCCTCTAAATTTCAATCTCCAAATTTTGATCTTTTTATTTATTCTGAAAGTCTAAGATATTAAGAATCAGTACATATGATTTTAAAATAAGACTGCATATAGTTAGAAAAATGTTTCGAGAACATGTATTTTATTTCATAAGAAAATAAAACCATGTACAAAAATCATTTCTGTTCACTCACGCCAATCCTGTTGTTTGATCTTTGTGACTAAGCACCACCATAAAGCACGAAGCTCTGAAGGAAGGTGGCGGCAGAGCTCTCTCCTTAACCCCGGCCTGCCTTGGGGTCTCATTTCTCAGCTTCACTGGAAAGTTCAATCACTCCCTGGTTGGAGACCGTATTTAAAACAGCCCACAGTTTGGAAGGGTCCTCACAATTATGCTGGTGCTTCCAGTGGTGGAGGAGGTCCTCTTTCCGTCCCAGCATCTCTGCACAAAGCAGGCAGTTAAAGCCTGAACGGGACCACAAGAGAACTGTGTGGAGGCCGGGACACTCAGGGCCCTGGCAGGTTTCCCTTGGTTTGTTGGTTCCTGACTGGGGTCCTTCATTTTCCATGAGCATTTCCATGCCATTCTGATGATGAAGGTGGAGCTGCCTTTTCAGTCTCGGACATGCGTGTGAATCCTTCTCGGAGGAATGAAGCTTCTCCGGCTTCCCTCTCTCAGGATGCCTTTTCCAGTCAGGGCTAGCGTGCTGCACCAACTCTTCCTGAGTCCCCTTGCTTCCTGGGAAGGTCCCTTCTTGTAGCTTGCCCTGAATTTCCTCTCCGTGAACATGAAGTAAATGAAACTTTATTTCCGCAAAAGACTGAGCAGTAATCTGACAACGGCCACATTTGATTTGTAATTTGACTTCATCTGCCTGGTTTAGAAGGAAGTCTTCTTCCAGGTTGGACTTGTTTTCTCTGAAAAGGGCAAAAATAGTGTACATAAGTTTCATGGAAAAATGCAATTGGAACCGTTCCTCTTAGCTCTCAGCCTTCAGGGATCTAAAACATACACTGACGAGAAAGACAAGGGCTGGGGTAAACAGAGAGCGCCTGGGAAGACCTTCCGCAAGGACCGCGGTGAATACCAACTGTCACTCCTGCTTGCGGCCACACATTTCTCCAGCTACCAGGGTCCTTTTAATCAACAGTCCTTCTCTTCATGCATCTGTCCCAGGTGAGCTAACTCATCTTTGGTTACCACAGGGACAGGAGCAATCACGTGGAAGAGTCATGTAAGAGTGCGTGAAGGGCACAGGAACACCCTCAGTTCTGTTGAAGGTAACGGTCCCACCCTACCCACTGTGGCTCTCCCTAACTTTGAGCACCAATATCTTCTATTCAATTTTGGCTCACTCTGTTATGTTCAGTAAAAATAAAGGGTGCCTATCCTATTTCTTCCTTGCTTTTCTATAGTTTCTCCTTTTTCTCAGACGTTTCTGTCCCCTTTAAGACCTCTGTGCCTTTCACTAATGAACCATGAAACCTCACTTCTTCCTTCTTTTCCTATAGTTAGATTTTGATTTTTAGGTACAATGTCCAAACTACATTTGGCAAGAGCGTCTGTTTTGATTTGGGGAAGGGGAAGATTTCACATTCAGAAAGGAGCCAGTGGGCACCCGGCTGAAGGTGCAGCGGGGACTTGTGGGGCTGGCCCTGAGTGTCGGGTTCATTTGTGCAGGGTTGGCCAGGGCCACTGCGCCATCTGCACCTTGCCTGCTGTTGCTGCTGGGGAAACGTGGAGAGGAGGTGGGCAGTCCCTGAAACCTGCCGCTCTGAGAGCCACTGCAATGGGGCCAGGCTGAGTCACCTGCTGGCAGGGGAAACAGCACACTAGGGCATGGGTAGAGAGGGGCCCTGAGGCGGAGCTGGGCCAGGGGCGGTGCCACGCTTCATGGAGCCGGGGAGCTGGGGACAAGCAGGAGCCCTGCCCTTTCCAAGTTGGCGGGGTGGGAGCTTCCCAAGCGCAACAGCCTGCAGCTGCGACCCAGGCACCCTGTGCTCTTGGAAGCTGGGAGCAGGCAGGAGTCCTCCTGCCCTCCCAGGCATCACTGTAGTTACCGTGCTGGGGCTGCAGATCCAGGCATCTCTGCACTCTCAGGGGTCTGGGAAGGCCCCTTTCCCCCTACAGACTCAAGAAGCACCTGCTCCTGCTGACTGGCTTCTCCCTACTGTCAGCACCTGCTCCAATCTCAAAGCAAGGCTGGGGCTGAGCCTGGGCACTGTTGTAACCTGGCTGGGTGTGCACACGCTTGAGGCAGTGCTGATATGCCCACCCCCTACCACCTTGGCCCGCTCCAGACTTTGGGTGCCGATAAGCATGGGAGGGAGGCTGACGAAGGGGCGCTGAGGACAGCTTGGTGCCGGCCTGCAGGTGCCCCCTCAGCATGAACAGCCTGGGTGCCATCAACAGAAGCAGGAGGCAAAGAAGCTTCTGGGCAGCAAGGGGGAGGTCCCTGGTGAAGCCCCGCCATCAAGCCGGGGAGGCCCTGAATCCTGGGGGCCAGGCTGCCGGCCACATGGACTGGAGTGGGAACTTGTGGTGCTTTTCTGGGTCTGTCCACGACCATCCATGGACCAACCGCATGCCACTTCCTCTCCTCTGAGGCACATAAAAGCCCCGGACTTAGCCAGACTTGAAGAGACAATGGGATGACCAGTGGCAGAGAGGGGCTACCCTCTCTGCTGAGAGCAGAAGAGATGATGGGGATGACTGGCCTGCAGAGAAGAGCTATCCTCTCTGCTAAGAGCTGAATGTTAGTTGGGACAACCTGGCTGCAAGGAACTGCCCCCTGCAGTTCAACTCTGAGCTGTTCTATCACTTGATAAAGTTCCTCTTTATCTTGCTCACCCTCTACTTCTCTGTGTACCTCATTCTTCCTGAACGCAGGACAAGAACTCGGGACCTGCCAAATGGTGGGGCTAAGAGCTGTAACACAAACAGGCTGAAACACGCCCTTTGCTTGCCACATTGCAGGTGAAGAGAAGAGCTGCGGTCCTTTGGGGAGCTCTGACCTGGGAGCCCCCTGAGCCAGGGCAGTGACTCCCTCCTTGGGGCCATGCAGTTCCTGGAGTCTCCAAGCTTCCAAGCAACACCATGTTCCCGGTGCCAGCTGTGGCAGCTGCTTGTGATGTGCCTGGTCCAGACACAGCCTTGCAGGGAGGTGGCATCTGGAGCTGCCTGGCCTGCAGCAGCAGCAGCCGGCTTGCCTGCCTACGTGCAGTGGCCAGACCCCATGCTCGCTCACACATCCCTCACCACTCTGTGCCTGGCTTGCCCTTGGAAGGCATGGGATCTAGGCCAGTAGCGTGAGTTGAGTGCAGCCTGCCAGGCCGAGTGCATGGAACGAGCCTAATGGGCCAGAGCAAAACTCAGGCCAAGGTGCCACTGGCCACAGAGGTTTCCAGCAGGTGAAATGACACCCCAAGGATCCCGTAACAGTAATACTAGGAAGCAGGGCTTGCAAAAAGGAATGACTCCAGAAAGAGAGAACCTGACCTGATGGGAAAAACATGGCAAACAAAGAGGGTGGGGTCTGGGCACCTTAAGGTAGGGCCAACATGACAGACACACCCACTCTGAGTCCCCACCATGGGTCATGCCGCATTTTGGGGCAAATGATGCTGTTGAAAATAGTGCAAATTCTGTGGATGTGATTTTGGGGGAAATTACTTGTAAAGACCACTGGAACTATATACAATAATTTACTAGAGTGGTTAAGGTAATTCCAAATATGGATGATCAGAAACCAGAGAGAAACGAGATTATTCTTCACAGAACTAGGAGGTATAGATAACTACCTTATGAAATCTTAATCCAAGAGATGTTTTACAAACTCTCCTTTCTGAACATGAAATCTTCCCGTCTTCCCCAAATCAAAACAGACTCTCTTGCCAGGTTTCCATTCCATCGGCACTCACCTCTCCAGTGATCCCTCCATGCCTCGCACACTCATGTCTCTGTTCTTTGGTATGTCTCCTGGCTGCAGTTCACTGGTGGCGGGCTCGGTGCTGATCACAACCCTATGCACTTCTTTCAGATGGCCAAAATAGACTCGGACGTGGCCAAACACTTTTGCACAAAACTCACAACACATGAGTTTCTTCAGACGGTTCTCACCGTGATGAAGTTTCATGTGTGTGCTCAGGCTGCCAGGACGTACGTAGGACTTGCGACAAATCCGACAACTGTAAGGCCGTCTGTTGGTGTGTGTATTCATGTGGTCTCGAAGGTGCTGTTTGAACTGGAAGTGGTGGTTGCAGACATGACATCTGTGCCAAGGCTTCTTAATGCCAGAGAATCCACTTCTGAACATGGAGCTGGGCTTAGGGGAAGAGCTGTTGTCTTGCTTGCAGCCAAGATATTTAGGAGTGAGTGAATTATTTAACGAAACATCCTGTCCTAGGCCCCCAAGCATCTGGGATTGTAGTGTAGCTGGAGAAGCCAGGGGGGTCAAAGTGGGTATGACCATGATAGGTTTGGGCATAATGCTACGATATTTTTTCAGGGTCCCCGGCTTTTGGTCTCTGAATTCTTGGGGATCATTTTTTACTCTTTCTTTACCATCTCTACACTTATTAATGACACATTTCCTCCTTTTTCCCTGAAATGCCAAAATTTCATCTGGTACCTTCCGTTTCCTTCCTTTTCTCTTTGCGGTTCCACTGTTCAGTTTTGTTTTGTGGTTGAGATCAAGTTTGGTGGGTGGACAAAAGGCACTTTCACAGGGACTCTGCTGTGACACTTGTGGAACAGGCAGCTTGCTTGCCACCTTGGTGGCTGCATTAAAGCCTTCTGTGGTGGAGGATATCTTATCACAGTCGGCCTTAGGTCCTGGAAAAGAAAAACCTGCAATGCTAGCATCTGATTTGATTTTGTAAACCTCCATTGTCTTCATTCTTGAGTAGGGTGGGATTGGCAGTTTCCCTTTGGGGACTGAAGAGATCAACGGAACTGCATTGCCAAGAATGGTTGGTGATAAACTGGTCATGGTTTTTGCAAGATCAACTTGTTCTTTAAACTTTTCACTGGCAACAGCAGAAGGCTTACTAGATGTTACCTTGCTTACAAAGTGTGGTTTCCCTGAAAGACCTGTGAGGTCCTGCTTGGCAGGCCCCTTTGGTGTGGATGATGCTGGGGTGGCAGGAGGGTTCAGATTGCCATGGGTGTTGGTCACTGGTGGTCTCAAGTCCCCATGGTCACTTCCATTAGTCAGCGCAGCTGTGCCAATGCTGGCTGGGGCTTGCTCTAGTGATGGCACTTCCTCAAATGGGCTGGGTTTGTACAGGAGTTCGGGGTGGTGAGGTGGGGAAGGGGATACCTGAGGACACATTTGGGTTTGGGCAGGAGCTTTGCTACAGCCACTCTTAGGAAAGATCAGGATGGGTTTCTTTCTTGATCCTTTGCTATTTCTTGGGGGTTGATATCGAGGAATAGGAAGTTTCAGGTTTTCAGGTAGGGACATTCTGGGTTTCTGAATTGGCTGAGCTGAGGCAACATGTGGCAAAGCAACAAGAGAAAATGTCCCCTCCTGGCCAGCAACCTGCATCAGAGCATAGTTCTGGGTGGACATCCCCAGTGGCTTAGAGTTGATGGAGGGTCCCAGATTCACCTGATCAGAGCGTGATGGTGAATGACATGGCAGCATTCTGGATGTTAGGACTTTGGGCACAATTTTTGGTGCGATGGTCCTAAAGTGACCCTTATTCTGCAAACCTTTCCTACTCTGTATTGTTCCAGAAGGGATGTTTGATTCACCTGCAATGACAATAAAATATAAAGAGTTATTGTATGTAACTGTCCTGTTAGTGATACTTCAAACAACATGCATCTTATTTACTCTGCCCAGAAGAGATTCCTTGACCTACCTCCAAACCTTCTGGACAAACTCTTGTGTCCCTCAAGACCAGCTTGAAGATCAATTCCTGCCTACCTTCCCCAAGGATTACTATACTCATCTATGGTTCCTTAGCTCCTATTATGTTATTTACAATTTTCCATAATAATTTTTGTGTTTATGTGTATCTCTACTACTCAACACTGCTTGACAGCGAAGATTCTGTCCTTCTCATCCATGTATTCTGCAAGTCCATCTTCTCCATTTAACCTATCCCCACTCATCTTCACATGATGTCTGGTGTGTTCTGCTATGTAGTTTATTATTTTATATTCATGTTCTGCTTTCCCTATTAAGCTTGAGCTTTGTGAGGGTATAGCCTATATTCAATTCATCTTGATACTTCCCACTGCATCCTTTGTATGAAACAAGCATTTCTTGTATCAAACTTATTTTTCACTCAATCTCAGGATACACCATTTGACCCACTAGCAGTTGAGTTTGTTTGGCACAGTGGATGCATTCCAGACTGAATGCTAGCTTTGTTGCTGTTTCCCCATGTGACTTGCGAATTTCTTCTCACACCTTTCAAACTGTTTATGTGTGCTTTTGCAATTAAATCACCAGTATTAAAAAAGCTGATGTGACACCTTTAAAAAATGTTGAACAAAAACCAAAAAGATACAAAGTGATAAGTAAAGATACAGAGACAACATGAAAAATATGTGAATGGCACAAAAAGCACCTTCTAGGATACTAACAAGAACAATTTTGACTGCTAGAATAACACTTCATTCTTTCTGGATTTATTAACCTGACCTAAGACCAATTACCACTACCTTAAGAGAACAATTGTGGTGTCCTGCTTCTAAAGACTGAATTATCTATTTTATTTTCTGAGGTCTCAAGGTCACAAGACCCAGGTGCAGAAATGTTTCTAATTTCTAAGTATCTCATATTAATCAAACTTCAATTCACATTTACTAGGCACCTACATTATTCCAATCATTATTATTCCAGGATTGGCTACTGCAAGCCCGCGATCCCTTTTCTGAAATATTTGGAGGAAGATGTGGTTTGGAATTTATATTTTCAAATTTTGGAAAAGTATTAAGATGCATATACTAAACGTTACATAACTCCCAGCAGAATCTACAGGGCACCCATAATTGAACCTATTACCACATCTGTAGCAAAACATGCAAATATTCACAAGTAGGACAAACGAAGATTTTTAAATTGTCTTTATTTCAGTTCAAGTTTTTACTTCCGAATGAGTTTGGAACTTAACTTTTCATAAACTTCTGTTTTCAGAGTTTTTTAGATTTTAGAGTTGGAGGTAAGGGACTGAACACTGTGTTAGAGGATACAAGGTAGGTAGCAGACAATCTAGTGAAACAGACAATCGAAAATGTAAAATCAGCTGGGCGCGGGGGCTCACGCCTATAATTCTAGCACTTTGGGAGGTTGAGACATGCGGATCACTTGAGGTCAGGAGCTCGAAACCAACCTGGCCACATGATGAAACTCCGTCTCTACTAAAAATACAAAAAAAATTAGCCAGGTATGGTGGCGGATGCCTGTAATCCCAGCTACTGGGGAGGCTGAGGCAGGAGAATCACTTGAACCCTGGAGGCAGGGGTTGTAGTGAGCCGAGATCATGCCACTATACTCCAGCCTGGGCAACAGTCTGAGCGAGACTCCGTCTCAAAAAAAAAAAAAAAAAAAAAAAAAAAAAAAGGTAACATCAACCTTGATTTTCTTTTTTCTTTTTTGCGATGGAGTTTTGCTCCTGTTGCTCAGGCGAGTGCAATGGTATGATCTCGGCTCATTGCAACCTCTGCCTCCCGGGTTCAAGCGATTCTCCTGCCTCAACCTGCCAAGTAACTGGGATTACAGGCATGCGCCACCACATCCGGCTAATTTTGTATTTTTAGTAGAGACAGGGTTTCTCCATGTTGGTCAGGCTGGTCTTGAACTCCCAACCTCAGGTGATCTGCCCACCTTGGCCGCCCAAAGTGCTGGGATTACAGGCATGAGCCACCGCGCCTGGCCCATCAACCTTGATTTTAATGCCTACAGTGAGTGAATTAACAATTTTAGCAGGAAGTTGGTTCTTTCAGCAGAAACGACACCCCCTAAATAAACAAGCCACTTAGTAGAAATAAGTTGAAATTTACATTGACCACTTTATTTTTAGAAAGTAATTGTTTTGTGAAGAAAAAGGATGTTATGAAACATAGTTCACAGAATAGCCTGCACTAGAGTAAGAAGTATAAGGACTAGTGCTATGCTCTGGAAAAATCAGAAAAAGATAATTATTTGTTGTTTTCCTTCTGAGTCTGATTACCATGAATTCCGCCTGTGGGTAAACTTGAGTGGTAAATCACTTCACAATAGTCATCTATATGGATTGCTACTTCTTCCTACACAATTTTAATTTTTTAAGTTTTATTTTCATAGCCTTTAAATGTTTTTCATTTTAAACCTCACCTTCTCATCTTTTTTTTTTTTGGAAGAAGTACCAAAATAAGTTGTAAATAAATACTTTAAATCAGGATCGAGAGACTTTGCAGAAAGCCTGAAATTACTGATGGCTTTTGGTTACTTAGAGATGTGGCTTAATACATAATTACATTAACAGTAATAATGTTCTTCGCATTTACACAACAGACCTGGGGTATGGAAGGGAGAGAAGAGAAAATTTGGGTCATTTATCACTAGTTCTTCCTCCTAATTGGGCAGAAAATATTTACTGCAAGAAGGGCTAGAACAAAGGCTTAGTAATACGCCCTCTTTAAAGAATATGTGACAATAACACATCATAGCCCAAGATCTATGACTCCCTCATCTCAAATCTGTCCAGTGGCTCTTCATCTCAGAGTAAAGCCAAAATCCCTGCAATGGCTTAAAAGGCCTCATGCTTTAAAAGGTCCCTGGCAGTCTCTCTGACCTATTTCCTCCACTTGCTCCACTCCAGCCATGGTGGCCTCTTTGCTCTTCTGGGCATGCACCTCCTGAGAGGTGGCTCCTGGCTGGGAGGAGCACTGGCTACTCCCACCTGCCCAAGACATTTTTCCCTTTTATGCCCAAGACAATAAATCCCCAGTACTTGCTGCATCATTTCCTTCAAGGTTTTGTACAAATGGCTTCTTCTCAACGAGCATCTTCTCTGACGACCTTATTTAAAACTATATCCCATTGTGAACTCCCTGCTCCCTCTTCCTGTTTCATTTTCTCTAGATCGTATGTTCCATCTATGGCCAGACGCGGTGGCTCATGCCTGTAATCCCAGCACTTTGGGAGGCTAAGGCAGGCAGATCACTTGAGGTCAGGAGTTTGAGACCAGCCTGGTCAACATGATGAAACCCTGTTTCTACTAAAAATACAAAAATTAGCCGGGTGTGGTGGCAGGCGCCTGTAATCCCAGCTACTTGGGAGGCTGAGGCAGGGGAATTGCTTGAACCCGGGAAGTGGAGGTTGCAGTGAACTGAGATCATGCCACTGTACTCCAACCTGGGCAACACAGTGAGACTACATCTCCAATGAATGAATGAATGAATGAATGAACGAATAAATAAATAAAGTATCACATATATCGCCTGCTTTCCCTAGAATTCCTAGAGGACAGGGAGTTGGTCTGTGTCTTCAGGGCCTACAGTATCCAGTACATGACAGAGATTTACTAAATATTTGTTGAATTTTTTAAGCAGTAATAAAGTGATCAAAGAGAAAAATAATTTAGAGGTTGAGCCTTGGAAATTTTGTAAACAGTGGGAAAAAAACACAATTTAAAAATGACCTTTAACATTTCAATATTTTGAAAATTTAAAAGGAAACAGAGGATATTTCTCGGAAACATTTTTAAATGTAATTTTATTTATTGCCAGAATAAGGAGCGAATAATCAACTAACCATCTGAGGAAATAACAAAAGAGAATGGTAAATTATGCTGCTGGGGCATACACTGAAATAGTCAAAGAAACAAGCAAGCTCTACAGAAAACACACACACAGAGAGGAAGAGTGGGGGGATTAGAGCGAAGACAGAGGAACAACAGAAAGGGAAACCAAACCTCAGAGGCAGAGCATGGTAATGTCAACATGAAGAAAGGCAGAAATAACAGACAGCAGAAGATGCAGCTGAAGCAACAACAGTGGTCAAGGTCACCTTGAAGTCTCTAAAGACTTAAGTTGGGAAGGAGCTTCCTATTTTTTATGACCAAGTGTGAGAAAGCAACCTTCTGACAGTTAAGGTTTCCAGAAATGAAACCAGATATACTTCATACAGCCACACCAAAAGGGAGTGAGCTAATTATGATATATTTGAAGTTAATGTGCTTCAACTGATCTTCAAATGTCTCTACATTATAGTGGGAATAAAATCACATAGGAAGAGCAAGGGCATTCAAAGGAAAAGGAGGCCACTGTGGTCTGAAAACAAAAGGACACTCCTGAGCTGTGTCCCGGCTGCGAGAGCACTGATCAGTGTCAGCCGTGTGGGCAATCTGAAGTGACAGAGGCCCAGATGACCGATATGATGTCTGCCAAACTGAGTCCGTGCTCCTCAAGGTCCCTGCAACTTAAAGAAGTGGATGCTGGGGTTGAAAGGCTTATCAGGTGGTTCATGATCAATATCACAAGCTAATCACAAAGAGTTTGTGGGGTGAAAAGATAAGGTCTTGTTGAGTACATTTAACATACTATGCTTGTCTGGATCTATCAGGAAGTACATACAAAGGTGATGGTCTCCATGAAAGTGGCGCTGAATCCAGTTTCTCAGAATCATTAAGGACAGGAAACGAAACCAATGTGTTAATAGAAATGCAAGGCAGAAGAAAGACAGCAAGGCCACAGAAACAGAAGAGAAAAAACCCTGGGAATTACTTAAGTGTCCACCAACAGGGTGCTAATAAGATAAC